AGTGCAAGGACCGCAAACAGCTCCTACCTTTTCTGGGTTTACTGTCCTCTAGGGACCAAACTGACTTGTGGAAATACAAGTACCAGGAAGATGTAAGAAAAGAAACTGATACGATACTCTGAATTTCCACCTTAAAAATGTTTTCCACGTCATGCTGTAGAAATACAATGGAACTGAATTGGCAAATACCATCCATATGCTGTACTATAAAATGACTGATAGAGCAGAACGTGAGCATTACTTCTGGACTGAACCAGAGAACGCATTAGAAAAATGCATAAGTGGAACACTGATATATTCTAACTCAATCTTCCAGGGTGCATTCCCTTATTATGGAATCAAAAGCTTATACCACTAATTATGGTTTACCCCCATTACAAACAGCTGCCGCAGAACTGAACGCAGGCCAGCATTTGAACCTGAGTTCAAAGTCAGTGTGATGCTGCCTTATTTTCTTACTAACATCATCTTTATCCTCTCTTGCCCTTCTTCTCAGTTAACAAGAGTTATGTACTGAAAGTGCTGAGATAAAGTAATGGTAAGGAGGATACCGCAAAAGGTATTTGAAAAGCACAAGTAATTTACTACATGTCTGCTTTGTTTTACTTCCTAAGCCTTCCTGTTGTGAAAGGAAATTCATCTTTTCTGGCAGACTCCAGCCTTTTTAGGCCTGAGAGCTCCCCAGGAGCTTTCGAGTGCAGGTAAATGGATGTGAGACTCTAAGAGTACAGCACAAGGAACATGGAATTAATGTGGGTTTTTGCTTTGGCTGTCACGTCTGACGTATAAGGAGAGTGCTATATCCTTGCTTGCAAGAAGTATCTAGATGTAAAAAACACAAGGCTGAGTCCTCTGGTTATTACAATGGGTCTGAAGTGCCAAGAATGGAAAGGTCATGCTGCTGGTGGGTGAAGCATACAGGATCTAAGCTTAGCGAAGTCTCCACATGAGACAGATGTCAGGTTGCTCCAAGCCCCAAAGCCTTATAATATAAAAACGAAGAGGACTATGGATGGACAAGAGGTGCGGCTTGCATTCTGCATGCAGTGGAGACCCTAAGAGCAGGCGCAGGGGAAGCATCCACTGCCTAATCTAAATAGCACACAGAGTGGTTTTGTCCTCTTCTGTTCTCCTGCCAGTTTGCACATATGTTCTGAGTATGCAGCCTGCCCTCCAAAGACCACTTACAGGGGCAATTGCAGGGAAGCAAAGCAGTAAGAAAGTATCCAAAAAGGGAACTGGTTCAAGAGAAAAAAATGGAGACAGATGTAGAGTGACTAGTCACGGCTGGCGGTAAATAACCCTCTGCCGAGAGCACTCTCTTTTTCTAAGAGGAGTTCACATATTCCATTTCATATTTCCTTTCTAGGAAGTCAAATCCTTGTTTTCCTGGCATTTGTTCCTTTTTTTCTTTCACTATATTTTTTTTCCCTTCTGTATGGTCTAAAATGTTCTCCTCCTTTCTTCTCCTTTTGCTATGTTGTGTTCTCTTTCTCCTTTCAAGTGAGACATTTCTGCAATCCTCCTCTCATGTAGACCACACTCCTAATTTTCCTGTACCCTCCCCAGCCAACATCTTCTATTATAACCCTCTCACGGCCCCTGTGCCATGAGCACTTCCTCTGTCTCTGCATGTATATGAACACAGAGGGTTTCACACGTGCTCTTGCTTTATCCTCTCCACTTTCTCTCATGTGCACACCTCAAAATTCAGCGAATGCAGCACACGTAGGCAGCCTCCCGGAGACTATTTACCCTTTCCCTCCCAGAAACCTGTCAAGGTATGCAGGCCAAGAAGCTATCTCTGGATAAATCTGCTGTGAGAAAGCAATCCACCCAAAGGTAATAAAGCCAAAGGATATATTATTATCTTTGGTGTGGATCCTACTGGGCTGGGAGGTTGGCTGCTGGCTTCTCGCTGTGAACTTTCCTTCCCAGGCAGAACAGCCATCCCGCAGACAGGTGTGTGCTTCCTTTCCTTAGCCTGATTTTCTCCTCCTGTTGTTTAGCCAGTAACCCCAAGGACAGGGTTTAATTATGGGGTTTGGAAACCTGGCTTACGCTACTCTCTGCCAGCACAGGATAAAACTTCAGGCTGCCTTCCGAATCAGCATCATTCTGCACCATCGATACCCTGCATTATCCTACGCAGCATAAAATGAACCACATGGAAGAAATGCCAAGTCAAATATAAAGATAGTTTTAGTCTTTAAACTTCTGCTGCGAATTTCACTGAGAAAAAAGAAAACACTGAAGCTCAGGGATTATAGTAAGTTAAAACTGTGCAATCATATTTGCTTTTAGATTAAATAAACGGCAAGTCCCTTTTCTGGACAGGGGAGACATGGGAAAGGATGTATCCGAAATAGGGCAGAGTTCCAACATCCCCCTCACAGAGAGGAATACTATAGCAAGGCACAAGCTAATACGGGATGTTAACATCATCTGTATGGCTTTCAGATGACCAATATATTTTCTAGGCAGATGCCCCAATGAAGAATAATAAAACATTTTACACTCATGGAGATAAAGCACCCATGTCAAATACGAAGGGTCACACTTTAATATCAGAATTGCATGTGATTTCCAAGGTAAGGCACAGTACTGTGCACAGCATCAAAGCAGGATGCGCTCCCTATTACTTAGGAGGGAGCGCCCTGTTCCAGTGACATACCACTCTCCTCCTGGCATGAAAGGACACTTCAGTACTTTTTTGTCCTTCAGCACTGATGAGGTGTGGCTCTTTAGGTAACCTCTCTCCCAGCCATGCTCTCACAGCTGACCCTGTTTTATAGAGGAGCTGAGACAATGAATCAGAGGAGAGGCTGCTGCAAAGCCATGGGAGAAGTCTCAGGGAGGGCTGCACGGATACAGCATAAAGATTGTCTGAAAGTATATCCCACACAGGCAGGAAAAAGCTCTTGTTCTTCACAACTGCAGTAGGGATAGAAAGCTTGGTGAATCTGAGCTACATCTAGTTGGTACCTGGTTTAAGTCCCTTATGTTGCAGGGTGATTTTCTGCCATTTTACGGACAAGACTAGGGAGAATCTGGGATGCTTCCATAGCAAGCGAGGAAGGTCGTGAAGAAGCAAGTATCTTCGCTGCCTTGTTCCTGCCTCTCAGAGAGCCTCAGGAAGCTTGATGTAGGCAGCTGTACTTCTTCCTGACGAGCACTCAGTAGCGCCAAGAGTGGCGGAGGTGCTTCAGTCTCCCATCTTGTTTGCATGCATGCAAGGCTTTAGGTACTTCTCTTGTCCAGCTCAGCAGATTAGTGCCACTATCTAATCAGGACTTGGATGAGACAGCTGTGATGACCATTTGTGGGGAAACGACCAGAAGTGACAGCAGAATTAATAGCCAACCTCTGGCTGTTGTACAAATGGAGAAGGTTTGTCATTAAGACACCTCCAAACTTTGGGGTGATTTTCCCTTCAGTCTGACAATGATGTAACAGCAGTGACCCAGTCAGCCTTTAACCATCTGTGTCTGCAGAGGAGGTTGTGATCTCTCCCTTTCGATGGGCATGGTGCTTTTGTTCATGCTTTTTCTGCTCCATGAGCAGCCTAGTACAAGGTGAGGCTCTGCCTTACATCATCTGGAGCCTGGAGCTCGTGGAGGAAACAGCCCCTGGCATCTACTGAGCAGGACACCTCACCTACAACACCAGAGCCCTGGGGACCGCTGTGGCAAGGCAGTCACAGGAAGCCTGGCACTTGTCTGCCTGCAGGTCCACCGTCTCCTCCTGCCAAAGCGCCACATCTGCAGTCAATAAGGGCCCACAAGCTGGCTCCTCCTCATTAGAGGAGAGAGGGCAGCTGGCAGGGGATCCTCCAAGGGCTCCCAGGCGCCAGAATCAGTCCCCTCCCAGTCTGGAATAGCCCAAATTTGGTGACTTTCTGGGCAAGCTGTAAAGCACAGCTGTTTGACCAGGTCTCTGGAGAAGGCTCTGGGTATGTTTCCTACACGATAAAGGATATAGGTGGCTGGCCAAGTGCCCACAGAACTGATTTTAATGCTATTCAGGTTGAATTTACTTTTCTGTGCTGTATAGTTTGTTATACACAAAACTCTGGACAAGCATGTGTTGTTTTAACTCAAACCAGAAACATATTATTTTAAATCCAAACCAACAACAAAGGCAAGAATAGATCCTTTGGACTGTTTAGAGGGCCTGAAACACTGGGAGGCTGACGATGAAAGTACTGGTGGTGTTCACCTAATGTATATGACTTCTATTATTTTTATTAGCCATAAATATTTGAATATTCAGCTGTAACAAAATTGAGGCACTAGCTAACTTCATCTGTGTAAGTACTACTGACCAAGAAAAATATTTCCAATAGTATTAAGCACCCAGATGATATCAAGATAAGTGATCAACAGACAAGTAAGTATGTAACAAAACCCGAAAGATGATCAACAAGAAAGATCACACACAAAAATTAACTAGGAAAAGGCAGAACTGCTTCCTAACCATTATGCAGTTTAATACCCAGTTTTATCTATCTCAATATGGAGCTTCATGGTATTACAGATGAGTACGTGCCTTCTGTAAGTCTCTTAAAAAGTCATTACTAAGTGAGCTCAAGTGTTGTGTGACACTTGAAAGGTCCTTTCACCTTATAAAAGTTTAGGGATGTTTGTTTACACATTATACCTGTGAGGCATAGCCCAGACAAGTACTGCTTTTTGCTAAGCAATTGTCACTGCTGTCCCAGAATTGAATCTGGAAGCTGTGACAGAGAAAGACAGCGTATCTTTTGCTGCATTATTTAAATACTTCAGATGTTTGGCCAAAATACAGAAGTGACACACTACAGAAACATTCACAGCTGCAAGAGCAAGAAAACTACTACAGTATTTTCATTAGACTGACCTTTCAGAGGAAGTTATAAGATTTTTATAATTGATCAGCTTTCTATACCATATTCAGTGTAGTCTGACAACAAAACAGCAACTGGAGATAATTTTCTTGGGCTCCTGAAAGCCATGGCTTACCTGGCTCCACTTCATGCCATCCACTTGACTGGCTGCCACTTCCTGGAGAGCGCCCTTGGCTTGTATAAAACGGCTCCTCCCCAGGACTGTCCATTTCATCCTCCACAGATTTGAGACGTTTTGTAGAGCTGGAATGGTAAAAACACAAAATAAATACTGTGTACATGGAAAGAAACAAAGGTCCTTCTCCTGGGACATACCTTGTTAGCACTGCATGAGACTAACTTGCTTACAGACACTATAATGGATCTAGGGCCCTGAGAAGAGGAAGGTTTGAGTCCTGCACAGTCATCCTGTCCATCCAGCCATCCAGCATCTCAGCTTCTACTATCTGTTTCTGATTTGCTTTATGCTAAAATGACTACGATTCAATAGAAGACAAAATAACCTCTAATTGAGTCCAAACTGACCCCCTGAACACCCTTTAATTTAAGTAGAAGATAGCATAACATTTAGGCATTTATAGATGCAGAAGTGGGACATTTTTCAGTGCACACAGAATTCAATAAAAAGACAACAATTTAATTTGTATTGCATGATTTTTGTCATTTGAACAAATACAGTAATGACACGTAAGCCTTCTTATAGCTGTCAGATATTTGTGCAGCTTATTCTGAAAGAGAACATACTTATCAGCCCAAATTTATATTTTCAATGTTTTAACTTTAGCCATTAAATTGACCTGGCTTTGGTCTCACAAGAAGAAGCCTAGACAAGTGAATGAGGCAAGAATTCATTCTTGGTTCAAATGTCCACATTATTATACATGCATAAGTATTTTATTCTATTGATGTATGCCACCAAGCATAAACCCACCCCAAGAGGTATCTCTGACCAATGTCAGCACTAAAGGATTCCCATACTGAAGGCTCGAGAGACAGAAGAGCCCTTTCTGTAGTCTCTGGTGGTCCCTGACTCGGACTCTGGTTGTTTGACAAGGAAGAGAGTCCCAAAGCCAAAGACACTCAGCTTGGCTTTGTAGAGACTGTGTGTGGATGTTACCAAGAATTTGTCCTTTAAGTACTTTTCCAAGGCTGGGTCAGCTAACTTCTTTCCCCAAATCTGTATTCTATTAAGATTTCAGGCATTCAAGAACAGGCCCCTTTGTGTAGGGGGAACACATTTAACAGACACCAAATATTGCATTGTAATGTCTACTGGTGTGATGCTTGCAGCCTCTGCTCGGTTCTTCACCTCCAGCTCTGCCCAGGTGAGAGCTGGAATCGGTTAGTGAGCAACAGGAAGAACGATTCCTGTGGTATGGCTGGAACGCAGGGCTGGCCGGGCCTTCAGCTGGAGAACTGCTATATGTCAATAGGGGAAATTGTGTGCATACAATATAATTACCGCCTGATAATTCCGCTGAATCTGTGTATTTAAGGAATATTTTTTTTTCTGACTGGGAACAGTCTAATGAGAGGAAAACAAACATATTACCAAGTTATTAACTACCCATGCTGCTTATAATTAGCTCCTTATCAGTGCTAGCTATTTGCAGAAGAATAGAAGAGCGACAACTAAGCTCTTAAGTAACACTAATAACTTCACTTTTTCGCTCCTGGAGTCACAACTAAACTCTACCTGAGAACGGTGCTAACGATGAGCACTGTACTTAGGGTAGCCAGCTTACACATAAGAAAGAAAGAGCACAAACTTTTTAACTGATGTGTAATGGGAATTGTAGTCGCCAAGCTTCATAATGCAAACTGAGTCAAGATGTAGAACGTTCTTTCAATCGCTGCAAAGTGTAAGCTAAGAAGTTATTGCTAATAGCCTCTCTTTAAAGTTTCTTTTTTTTAGAAAATAAGAGCAAGAGCTACATTCGAGCCATAGAGCTTTTTACATGTGTGCTTGCTTATTGCAAAGCTGGTGGCACTGCAGACTAAGATAAAAATGTAAAAGAACCCTGGGCTTAAGTTAGACTTTCTTGTCGTGTCTTTGAAATAAGTGATCTATTTTGGCTGTGGGGGAAAAAAAATCAGTCTATCTGGTTCCTTAACAGTGTTCAAAACTACTAGAGTGACTGGGCTTGTTAATCTAATCTCATGGATGGTTAAAATAAAAGGACAGGGTAAAAAAATAAAAAATATCCTTGTCTGAGGTTAGCATCGAAGCCAAAATCAAAATCAGCCTAGGCAGTCACCTGCATTAAAAATTCACAATTTTCAAATGGTTGAGTTACAAAATTCTTAAAGCTACATGAAAATCAGAATGCATTAGAGGCCAAGGCTCTGACGTTATGTTAGTCTCCTGGATAATACTTTTTAAGATAAAGAATGCACGTATAAGTCAATCTTAAGTCTACCAGATTCTGCTTTTCTTTCCTCCTACGTAATGCAAGCCATAATATTCATAGCTATTGTCTCCTTACAAATATTCAGTGACCTTCCTGCTAGGACAAAGTGATACATCTCAATATGCTCCCACTTCTCTTCTGCCACCAGTGGAACTGCACCAACTCCCATGCAATTACTCCTGATACACTGAGACACAAGCCAGAAGTTATACAGGTCAATGCAGTAGTATTTCTTCAAAGCTTGCATATAAATAAAGAACTTTAACAGCAACCCAGACAGACTTTCAGCTTGGTGAATCTGAAACTGCTTCACACTTAGAGGTCCTCAAACAACTTGTCAAATAATTCAGTGGTAACTTTCCCAGATGAAAAATGATGCTTGCCTGGCTTTCCAAGTGACTCAGTAGTAGGCATAGATTAAATTACCTGGTAGAGGATGTGCTAGGTAAAGACCTCCTCATTGCTCCTGGGCTCATGCTGTAGTATGAAGAACTTTCCAAATCTGAGAGGGAGAAATTAGGGCCTGTTCCTGCAGCTATTGGTGCTGGGGAAACAAAAGAGATTGCAGTCAGTAAGTCATGTGAATAAGGCTTGAATTGCACTTCAAAATCATCTTCTTCTCCCTCATGAGTGTATTTAGTTTGGGATGAGAACAGGTGGGATGTGGAAATTAAGAAATCTTAATGGTAACTGGTACGGCAGTCAAGAAGATGTAAAGTGAGTGTATCAGGAATACAACGTTCTATGACACAGACTCTTTCTTACTGTCCTCCAAAGATATCCCTTCTTTATAAAATTTAAACAATTATGACAACACTTTTGTTCAATTCCTTTAAGCACTGTTCTTCTATCATTATCATTCTAACACTTACTGAAACTTGTTGCCTTCTTTTAGGATTAGATTGCATTTATTGGCATAGTTGCAAATAGGCTGCATCGTCTCGGAAGTGTGCTTGGCATAATCTATAAGCAGGATAGGCGGGGAAATGTATACCTCAGGACCTTCGGTATATACTATGATGTACATCCACAAGCACAGAGGTTACAAATGCTCCTTGGAGAAAGTGCCAAAGTAGATGAGAAGTCTGAGTTCTTCTCTGCTTGCAAGCATCTGAGTTTTCCTCTGGCCTCTCCTCTTGCTAAATCAGAGCTAGAGATATTTGTCTCACAAAAATGATTACCCAGCAATTATCTTCCATCGTTCATCTCTCACCACTTCCCCAGGGGTGAAGTTTTTTTTTAAGGACTACAAACACCTTTAATTTCCATGTCCTAGAGCCTTTTCTTTACATTAAAACATTATGAATTCCACACCCTAAAGTCTGCAGGCACAAGTCTATGCACTGCCCTGTGCTGTACTCTTCCGGGAATAGAAAAGGAGTACAGTAATTTAATGTTCAAGTCAATTGACAATGTATTTTACAAAAAATGTCACTACATGGCAAATGGTCCTATAGCCACTGTGGCTGTTCCGGTGCTATTTACAGGACAGTACAACTTTGGGAGTTGGCATCTATGGACCATGATTTTCTCAATGATTTTCTCTCATTTCTGAGGCATCTGCAAAAGAAGGTACTACACAATAAAATGTACAAGTTTGGCCCGGAAGGTATTGTCTGGGAGCCCCCGATTCACAGCGACAAAGGCGAAGGCGTTTCAACGCCACGCAAGGACGCTGAGCCAAGTTTACCCTTGGGTCTGAGAATCTGGTCCATTTTCAAAGCATGAAAAAATCTTTCACTCCGACAGGGCAGGAGCGAGGAAATGAAGACAGGATAGCTCGTATCTCCAAGCTAACTTGTCTGGGTTGAAATGCAGGCCTTCTGGGAGGGCTGCCACTGGCTGTAATGGGGCCAGTATTTCACCCCAAGTCTTAAGGAGCTCCCAATGTCAGATTCAACACAGGAATAATGTAGCTCTGCAGCTGCCTCATCGTCCCCACCAGATAATTAGCTGTTGTTTGGCAAGGATCGTTTAAGAACGTCATTGAGAGAGAAAGGGAACAGCCTGGAGAGCCATGGACTTTTAAACGCATGGGATGGAAAATACACACCACGATTCAAACTTGAGAAAATCTGGAATGATCATTAAAAGGAATTAGGTTGGGAAGTAATTTATGACAAGAACACTCAAATCCTTTGTTATCTGCTCTTAACTATAATAGGCTTCCTGCACATTGGGTATAGGAGAGGGTGTGTTAACAAAAAAAAAAAAAAAAAAGAAAAAGCATAGTAAAATTAACTCATTTTATCAATTTGTGCTTTCTGCCACAGTTTCCTGACAGCATCTACAAGAGGCTGTAAAACTGATGAATTTGCATGGAAAAAGAAACCAGTGTAAGTAATTTGTGTAAAAGGTAACACAGACATGGACTGCTATAATTCAGACACCCTGCAGATAGCAGACTGCTGCAGTGTGAGCAGTTATGGGTTAGAAAAATGACCACACTGCAGTCAGTCTGACTTGAATGGAAATCAATCATAAAGGTACTCTCTGCAGCATCCCCTCCACAGTTTTCAGCAACTTCCTTGCCAAACAGATTTGTGCTCTGTAAACCCTTTGCTGATCAGTTCCTCTGCACCCTCTACCTACCAAAGCCTAACTTACAGGTTAAGCCTAGTATTTTCCAAACAGGAACATAAAAAGGCAAGCACTAAATTAAAGCACGGTGTCCTTCTGAGGCACAGTGAATCTCCTAGCCATTGCAAGATTTATGAAACAGCTTTATTCCAAACAGATAGGGAAGAAAACGCTGATATCTGGGTAGTGCTTCTCTTCTGCCTTTCACTTCCCTCTGGTAATCACTCTCTCTGCAAATCCTGGGTATTTTTGTTGAAATCCTTGAATTGGCCCCATGTGAAAATAAAATATAACTCCAGAAAAGCAGTGGGGTAGGAACTGGGAATTGCTAATAACGTGTAAGCTCACTGCAAAGTAGAAAGGGGTAATCAGAAAGTAATTTCAGCCCTTGCAGTAAGTACAAAGGATGCTTTGTTTGCTATGGGTCGAAACACCTTGCCACGCTCAAGAGCCTGTTTGGGTTAAAGAACCAAACCCACCTCTGATATGCAATAACAGAGCTAAACAGCCGAGGTTAAAAGCGCCTCGAAGGCCTGGGGCAGCTGAGGGTTTAAGAGCCCCAGGGCACTTCTCAGGCATGACCGACGGCCCTGCCACGACCACCTCCGGGTCACTCACCCTGGAGGGACGGTAACAAACTTCGCACAGGGCTACGCTGCTCTGAAACCCCTCCTCCTGCAGAGCCGGGGCTGTCTTTCAGCAACAGGTATTTGAATCTCTGCTAGCAGTCACCCCCTCGGAACCATGTTTTATTGTAAAGCCCAGGGAAGGAGTGCCGGTACGGGGACCCCAAGGCTGTCAGGAAGAGGTTAATGGTTTCCGTGCCCATGGCGGCGGAAGGTCGCTTCCTGCTCCCGGCGGCCAGGCGGCTGCAGCCGTGGGGCCGAGCTGAGCCCCACCTTGCAGCTCCCGCGCCGGGCTCCGGCCGCGGGCAGCGTGCCGTGCCGCGCCCGCCTCCTCTCCTCGTGCCTGCCTCCTCTCCTTCCCGGTGCGCGTGGCGATGCAACGTGCCACGGGAGCGCGCAGGCCTCGCCTAGCCGGGCCAGGAGGAAACTCAGCCTAGCTCCAAACGGCTTTTCACGTGCTTTCGTGGCCTGGCCTTCTTGCACAGGCCCAGGGAGCTGATGGGAAGGTACGGCCGCGCTCGTGTTTATTTGCAGCATTCCCTCCAAGGCTGCAGCTCCGCAGGGTAAGCAAAAGGATCAAAGTGATGTAAACGACGGCACAACTCCGCCTAAATCGAGCCTCTTTGCTGCAGGACGTGATGAGCCAGAGCCACCAGGCAACCAACCTGGTCTTGCGTCCGGCGAGCACGCTCGGGCCCCAGGGACGCAGCGGCGTAGCTGGGAGACAGCCCTCCGGCACAGAGCCGGCCGCTCGCCACGCGGCAGCCTGCACGAGCTCCAGGCCAACGGCATGAAAAACACACTCTTTTCCCACCCAAGAAAAGCTCTTCAGCGCAGCGACCTCCTGGCAGCTCAGGAAGGTCTCCCAACCAGGAGAGGACGTCCGAAATCTCAGCTGCGAGGCAAAGCAAGAGCCTCCGCCTACACGCCTGCACCGGGACGTCACCCGCGCCGGCGCTCGGACCCGCTCCGCGCACG